ACAGAATATAGTTACACGGATGCATTGTTCTGTACCCTTTTATAAAAAGCCCTCTGGGCTGACATTTTCAGCTTAAGGCAGCCATGTGTTCATTCAGGGACTTCCTGAAAATCCACTGCAGTCAGTGGACTCCCATCCACCTCTGTGGGCTTGACATCAGGCCCAAATACCTGAAAGAGTGGGTCTTTTTCTCTTTAGAGGAGGAACAGGCAGCTTGAGGTTAGTGGAGAATAGTAAGGATTTGTCAGGCAGAGGCTCTAGACCTTTAGCTTCTTTTTGCAAGAGACCTTTACTGGCAATGAAGCCAGTTCCCTCTTGGTGTGCTCCTTACCACGGATCCAGAGCAGTAACAGCCAGAGGAGTGGAGCCTGTGAGATCATCTTGGTACATGTGACTGGCCCAAAGCTGATCAGCAGGGTGTAACGAGAGATGCGGGAGCCTTTAAACCAGCTCTAAGCAGTGCAGGGGATGTCACGTGAGCGTGAAGTATGCAAACTGAGGTTGGATATGAGAGCCCGCCTCTGATCTAAACATGCAGGGGCCAGATGGCCGGGGTATCAGAGGAGAAGTGCAACCTGTTAGGGCTACCAGCTGCTCCCTAACTCCTCACTTTGCACTGGAGTGAGCTGTGGTGCTCCTATTACTGCCTGTCTGTTTTGTGGTCATGCCCAGCTGGTCCAGTTGGGATCAGGGCTCCATAGTGGGAGATGCCAGCCAAGCTCACAGAAGCATGCGGGCTTTGCTTTGCACGTTGTTTTTTAATGGCATTTACCAACTGTAAATGGGTTGAAGATGGGTAGGTGTTAGGTTTGACTGGAAGCATTGATCCCTGGTCATTTCCAATGCCGGATGCTAGTTTAAAGGTAATGTACTTAGTCTCACTATTGTGCTTGAAATCTCCCTGTTGATAAGAAGTTTTGGGCATATCCAGATTTCTGATTCAGAGTTCATATCATGTATACCAGATGTCGACTTCTGAAATATTATTGCTGTGGTGAGCTCCCTGAGGTAGGGGAGCTATAGGAGAAAGTTTCTGTCTTCCTTCCTGCTCTTATCCAGGATCTCATGTTGGGATCTGTTCTGTAACCCGTAGAATGGAAGAAGGTTCTTGACATGGAGTTTCCTAAAGGCTGGAAAACTGTTTTTAAATAAGTTTCTTCGGGAAAATGTAGCACAAAGCTGGTTCTTTTCTTTATACCTGTTGCACAGAATCTGCTCCTTTTGATAAATAAGACGGCACAAAAACTTCAGTGTTACCTGAAGTTAAGAACATTGATTTTTTTTTGATGGATTTCTATGGGGTTTTCGATGTTGTCCACCTCTGACTAAAAGGGAGAAACTTAACTACCCACAGGAGACTTCCCTTCAGCCTTCAGGGAAAGAGTGACACATAGTGATTATCATATAATGCAATTTATAACTTTTATTGCCATTCCCCTACAACCCCCAAATGTGTTCTGGTTCACATCTAACTCACACTATGGCTGGTTTACATGGCTACTTTAGCTTTTGCCCTGTCCACCTTTGCCTCAATTAAGTAAAAATGTATTCCTCTGGTTACAGGAAAGGTTCCCCAGCACTATCTATATTCCCACCCTTTGATTTGTCGGTGTGAGTGTACACTGGCTTCCAGGCCATGCGTGGGTGAAGGCATGGGAAGCCCTGAAGCAGATCCCTGGGAGCTGTCATATTAAATAAGGAGTTTAGGAGCTTGTATTTACATGGTTATGACAACATCTGGATAAAGCAATAAACTGCCGGTAATGTTCAGCCAGGAGTGTTTCTTTCTTTCCAACCCATTCTTCAATGTCTCATGTATAGCATTATCCAAGCCCTCTGAAAGTAATTAGAAAAAAATCTCATTCAGTTCAGAAGGTTTGAATCCAAATCATGGGTTTTACACAAGCCTTTCCTTTTTTAATTGCAGTCAAATGTGGTAAAGATGTGCAAAAGGCAGTGTGTTGTTTCTGTAGTACATGAAGACTTTGATATACAGAATTC